CCCCAAAACCCCAAAACCCCAAAACCCCAGAATATTCAAACAAATTTGAATTTTAGTTAATTTCTAGTATTATAAATTTTCTGGTCTGAGATTAACATGGCTTCATTAAAAAGAGTTTTAAGTATCTTCTTGATGATCACCTTCTCAACTTGTGTTGTGATTCCAACAGTGCAAAGGACATCTTTAATGCCTTATGGTCTCACTGACATCAGTGATCCTAGACATCACTATTCTTTTATTTATCACGGTAAGGAAAGATCTAATTTTTAGATTACAAATCTTACAACCAAAGGAAAGATGCCACTCTGCAAGATGACATCCACAGTGGCTTCTTCAGAGTTACAGATGATGAGATAATCTACTTGGTCAGGAGAAGCAAACATGATTTGGGCAGATATAAACTTGTCAAATATGATATGACAACTGGGACTACAGGCAAGTTTGGATATCTCAATCAGAATTTATTGTCAGTTTCAACGTCGGAACAACGTATTGAGACGATCTCTCTATTTTTATTATACAAGTTACGAAGTTTAACACTTTGCATAGTCACTCATCCCACCAACCCAGAGGAGTTCCTAGAGTTTAAGAACATGGAAATATACGGATTCACAATGCATAAATTCCCCACAATCGATGGAATTCTTGCTGTAGTCTCTGAATTTGTAAGGATCTTTGATTTCTCCTTTATCGACAAATTCCAATTAAATTTTCTAAATATCTGAACTTAGTCGAGATTACAAATATCTTACATTGAACTGGATGCTACAACTCAGAAGGAGAGGAAGAGGAACCTTATCTTTGAACAAGAGAACACATCTCCTGTAAGTCTAGCAAGGCTCAAGTGTCCTAACTATTCATAGCCTGAGTTGGATGCAATGATCCATCTGAAAGTCAATGTGGAAGATATTGACCCAGGTACTCCTCCTGTTTAAGGTATAGCAAACGGACACTATAATATCTTCTTTGAAGAGTCAGGAATTTATACAAAGTTCAGCAGTGAAGCAAATATAAGCGGAGGCAACAAGTGCTATCTCGTTAAATATAGGTAAGCTATCAAATAACCCTGAAATAGCACTAAGTACAAGAAAGTCCTTTTTATGAGGTCTGGAGAAGAGAGGTAAGTAGTCAAAGAATCTTTAAGATGGTCAGACAAGCATAGTTTATTTGTCAAGAAACCCTAATCAATTCTTATAGAAATGACATTAACCATATCCAGAATTCCTTCGTCCTTGATAATGGAAATGTAAGTCAGAATTTTGTTAGTCAGGAATGATTCAGATTTTTACACTCTTGATTTCATTAATCTTTCTACTAAAGCTGTAACTACATTATAGTTCATGACTGTAAGTTCAATGGCGAAGATCTGATTGATGCACCACTACTCTCTAAATCACACATGAGTATAGTGACTAAGGTTACCTTGGACACTTTCCTCTTAGTATTCTTTTCAAATTTAAAAGATCTTTTCAAATTTGATAGAGCACTGGGCTAGTTTTTAACACCTTTTTAAGATAAAGAAGTAAGATGACGACCAAGGGATGTCTTTATCCTTTGAGCGACTCTTCAGATACTAAAATAGCTCTTTCTTGCTTTCTTTTTGCTAAAACCATAACATATCTCTATCAGGTTTCAATCGGTATTAAAGGAGAAGAGAAAAGGGATATCCAGAACACAGACTACAGTGAACAAAATCCGATAGAATTTCATGAACCTTGCATTGCTGTGTACTCCTCAAGATCACTTGTAAGCTTCTGTATCATTTTGTTATAACTGCCTTCTCTTCTGAATAACTACTCGTTCTCTGTAGCCTTAGGATGAAGAGAAGCTGGGGAATATGACTAGCTATGTTAAATCTAACTTATTCTCTCTGATTTTTTGTGATTTATATCTGATTTATCCTCCAAAGACCAACTAGGTGTTTCCTCTGATCCGAATCTTCAGAGTTTTCTAAACTGTTAGTGTTGTCTCCAGTCTTGGATACCAATGCTCTACTTTCACTTTGCTCATGCATAAGACTTAATGCTGGGTCATTCTCGATGAGAGCGGCTATATTTACGGAAATTTATAGATATGGGAAGGGTGATACGGCACAAAGTTTAGCACGAAGCAAGTCTATAGTGACATCCATGCTAATAGGGTCTACCTACTCTGGCAAGAATTTGATATAGTTAATGATGCCATGGAGAACATTGTGCTTAAAGTGATTGATCAGGACACTGGATTAGAGTTATTGGCAAAGACCAAGAAGTACACTGGCGGAGCTGTTCATTCTCCAATTGATATGGCCATCAACCATCTTGGGATATTCTTACTTGCCAATATTGGTGATGGCTTCCAAGATTTAGAGAGTTTGGATACCTATACGACCCAGAATGCGAATACCAACTTTGCAATCATTTATATAGATCATGACGGGAATATACTTGAAATTGAGAGTTATGATACATTTGATTTAGCAAATGACCTTGGAGCAAATTATCCGAAAAGATTGGTGATTGGAGTTACCAATAAGCAACAACCAGTTTTCACTTTTTTGAGTTCGAGAGATGACAAGAATGATTATCAGGGAGGAGGGATCTTTGTGACCCAATCAGCTAATAATTCAGCTCTGTTTGCTACTGGAGATACTCTAGCTGCTTGTAGCTCTGTGGCTCCTAATTGTGAATTATGCAGTTCTCATGGTTGTCTCAAGTGTTCACCAGGATACAAACTTCAAAATACTGAATGTAAACTGACATGAGACATCGGATATTTTCAAGTCAAAGATGACCCTGATGATACACTTGATATTGATATCTGACTTCCATGCCACAGGTCTTGTCTTACTTGCTCCGATTCAACTGAAGCTGGCTGCTTGACATGCACTGCTGACAAAGTTCTTAATTCAACTAAGAAAACTTGCACATGCGACCAATCGAGCGGAGACAAATTTATGGATGGAGCCGGAGCATGTGTTTCTTCATGAGGGGAGTTACTTACAGGAAGATACAAACACCAATGTGTTCGTTCTTGTCTTGAAGACTCTGATGATTATGTCCAAAGATCATCTCTTGTTCAACCTTTTACAAAATCCACTGCTAATAATTGAGAATCCACAACCCAGCATTATAAAGTGACTGAAGGGACGACTAACAATCTTGAAATATATAAAACAAGAAGAGGAGTTAAGAAGTTCAGTTTCACATCATGGGTCAGAATATCATCTGCATCAGCGATAGAGTTTGACTTGTACACTATTGGTACCTATTTTTCATTTGAACATAGACAATCTGAGTTTGACAGGGACTCAAAATCCTTCAACAGGGAAAATTTCAATCTCTCTCAAAGAATTTTATAATGCCACTCAAACATATCGTGGGATTTATAATGTTCCTGGAGACTTTAGTCTTAATGAATGGGTGTATATAGGAGTTTCAATATCCCCAAAAGGAAGACTAGATGAACTATTTACCATTTACTTAGTCTCAGAAACATTAGCTGGGGTCCAAAACCAAGCGATTTACACAGATAAACAGCTAGATACAGGATATAGTGACATTGTATTGTTATTTGCTAAAATTTAGGATCAGATTCTTGCTGGGTTTACCGATATCTTATTCATGATTGGAGGTCATGATGTCACCCAAAAAGTACAGTACACAGGTAAATGTTATTCAATCTCTAGGCTTACTGAATGCAATCAACATTTACTCTAATTTCCAGACTCCAGTTGAACTGCTAAGCAATAAGAATCTGAAAGCGCTTCGCCCTAATAGGATATATCATCCAGATTTAAAAATAAGCATGACACTTACATCAAGTTATGTGCCTGGGACTCCTAGTAAGATGATCTCTCAACCATTGAAGCTCTATTAAAAGTGACTTATTAAATCATATAGTTACTTCTCAGTACATGGTGGTCCAATCGTACTTAATTGATGAATCATCAGAAATCAAAGCAGAAACTTTAGCCGCTGATCCTCTTACACTTTGTGAATTTTACAACATTGAGGTAAACAAGTCATTAAACTCTATGACTGGAATATGACAAGATTTTGGCTCTAGCTTGTTCTCTTCTCTTTTGTATTTAAATGAATAATATGAGAGAGAAGCTTTGTCCTTAAATTAGATGAATTTTTACTAATTTAAAAGAGTTTTCCTTAAAAATATGAGGGAATTTATTAAAATATTTAACTTCTGGAGATTTCGAGATTGTAGAACATGAATTGTCTCTCTTAGTTGTGTAATATGGATAGTTGATCATCTCAATATCAGTAGGACTGATAAGAATAGTATTTTTGCTCAATAAAAAGACAGTAATTGCACCAATATTTTGCTTTTTCTAAATCTTACATTGGACTATAGAGAAAGTGTAGCTCTATAAGCACAGAAGAGACCAGCGAGATTTATCCGATAGTAGAAAGTTTATACTCGCAATCAGGCATCCCAGCTGGAGGGACCAACCAAGAAGATATCATAGTATCTAGCTTACTCTTAAATATAGATTGTCCTTGATCGTATTGATATGAGTAGGCTTCCTTTCTATAGATCTGGGTGGAATTTTAATTATTTTTAGACAAAATAGACATTGAATTGAAACTCAAGGAATCCAACAGTATTAGAAGTTTTGACGTATAGATCAATCGGCCCCACTAGGACAGCATAATGTCATTCATCATTTTTCATCTGAAGTTGATGTAAGAATATTCTTAACTAATTCCTAGAAAAGTGTGGTGAAACTAGCATATTATAACTCAGCCACTAAAGAGATATTCAATGTTGGTAAATTTTATCTACTAAAAATCTAGGAATTTTTGCAATCGCTGATATTATTCCAGCGGTTTACCCAGATCATGGTAAAACATTGATTCCAAGCGCCGAGAAATATAATTTCACTTCTTCTTCAAGATATTTATCAATGGGTGAGCTCCAAGAGAAGATCTCTGGGTGTCCAAGTTGTCCCCAAGTAAGCTTGGAGACCATCAGTATAGGAAAACATAAAGGAATACTATAGTGAGATTATTTCATTTTCAGAAGACTGAAATAATGTGCAACCAGCTGATCTAAAGCTCCAAAGACAAGTAGATGGAACTTTCCCAGAGCTTGAAACTGCCTTAATGACTACCCCAGGGCAATACAGGATTTGCTGGAAGTCTCCAATGATAGAGAAGGAAATATACATACCAGCAAGTGAATCTGAATGGGTTGTTAGAGATGTTCCTAGTGTAAAGAGCAGTTGTAATACAATATATTCTAAAACATTCATAACTAATCCTTATAGTAGGCTCTTTTAACGAATACCCAGGATTTGCGATTATTTACCTGAATGAGAATGCACTGGTTGGAGATGAATTCCAGTTTTACAGAGGAGTGATAGACTGTCAGGCAGGAAATGAAGTAGATGGCCTCACCCTTGATAACACACTGAGCCTTCTATCTTATTTTACTCCAAATACCACGTAAAGTGATATTTTATGAAGCTATAGAGATAAGTTACATCTTTGATGGAGAGAAAAGACCAGGGTTGACACTTTCACGTGAGTCTAATATTCTGCAGTTTTCAGAATAATAATGCTGAAATATTTATAGGCCATGGATGAAAGTCTCATACTCTAATGGAACTTCGTATTCTGCAGCATCATTTGTTATCGAAGAAAAGTATAAAATGATGCCAGTTATCACCCTCATGAGCCATGCTCGCAATGGACCTGTTTATGAGGGAGAGGAAATCTGGGCCCAGTTAGACAATTATTATCGGAACATAAGGTAGCTACCATTTTGATTTACCTTTATAAAGACTATATGCCTACCTTACTCCTTAAGTGGGCTTGTGTTTGTAATATTTCTTGACTAGTTAAAAATCTTAAAAATTCTATTTTATTATCTTTCTTTAGCACCTTGAAAGTTAGCTGTAATGCTACTTTGAAATATATGAATGATCCAATCCAAAGTGAGCTATTGAACTAAGCTTATAGTTCCAATAGAGTGAGGTAGATCTGGAGAGCCAGTAGGAAGATGCTACTTTCATGACATCCCCTTCTATCCTGATAGAGAAATCATAATCTTTATCTTACCTCAATGTATCTCCTATACTGATTCAGGAAATGAGTATTTCTTCTTAGGGTAAGTATATGATTGGCAGAATACTTTTCGTATAATCCAATTTTTTCGACAATGTTAACATCTTATATAGCAATACTGGACCAGAAAATACCTATCATGAGATAGTATTATACCAAGCCCAATCAAGAGTGAGTGAATACTTCTGAAATTTAGTTTAATAATGGAGAGCAGAACTTGACATATTCTTCATCAAGGTAGTTTATTTCTAACCTCTAGCTTGGCGATATTTGGCATCAACAAAGTTGGGGCTCAACCAAAAGCAGTAGGGTTTACACCTCAAAAGGTTAGTACATTAATCAAATCTTGTTTAACAAGGGTCTGCTGACATTGCTTTAGGAAAACAATTTAGCCATATATGAAAAGTCGATTTTTTATTATAGTTCCTACGTCATAAGGTAAGATCTGTTACAACTTTTCTAATTTACAGTATGTGGATCGATTACAACACAACTTCTGCTTGCCAAGTGCCAGTCGGAAGTATCCAAGTCAAAACATTTGATGAGACTAATGTCTACTCAACTAATTTTAACGCTGATGAAGGAAGTAATTACTCATTAAGATAACAGCATAGACTGCCCAGTAGGAACAGAATTCACTGCAGATATTGTAGTCAGAGTACGGAAAATGTTAGCTTTGCTTCTTCCTAGCCATGCTATATTATGCTGAGCTTCCTATATTGTTAAACAAATGGCATGCGGTCCTTTATTGGTGACAATTCATGACTCTTTATAGACAACATTCTTGCCCAATTTCAGGGAACACATTGCTCAGCAAGTAATTTTACTAGATAACAACTAGATACCTGATGCGGGGATGATCCATCATGAATATTATCCAGATGCATATAAATGTAAGGAGATTCACTGAATTTATGGCTAAAATTTTGCCCTTATTCCTATATTTTAGCAGTTTCGGAAACATTTTAGAGGTGCCTTAAAGCCTAGTTGGAGATATCTTAGAGTTCTTTTGGTTACTCATTTTGGCCATTTTTAGTGTTTCTCATACCTCTTGAAGCCTTTTGGACTTGCTACAGTTGGAAAAAGGAAAAGTTGACTGAGTGATTAGAGGGTTGGGTTAATTTTGAACATGTTTAGGAAGATATAAGAAGTTAACAGCTTTTGCTTTAATATTTCAAGTATATCATCAAGAAAAGAACTTACCTCAAAGTTTAGTATTTAATGTATCGCAAGATTCTTCAAGGATTGGGTTTATAATTTAGATATATGGATAGTCATAAGATACGAATTCATTATTTTAAATATAGAATTGTAAATTTTTTAATCCATAACTTACTCAAAAAATTAGAATTTTATTTTTAACAAAAATAGATATATTCTATTTAATCTTAGATAACTGCTCCAAAGTGCACAGTTTCTACCTTTTTCCAAACCTTTCTACCAAATTTTACTTCTTATAACCTCTGTTCTCTAGTCAAATACGGTTGAGATCCATCATGAAAATACTGATTTGAGACTGATCCTCACAAATGAATCATCTGTAGTGAGGAATATCCTTACTATAATGGCACTACCAAGGAGTGATTCCAGACGGAGGGTGCTGCCTTAACCATTAACAAGATTATTACACAACAAGAGCTTAAGCTGCTATGTAAGTCTTTGCTCATTATTAGTTAGTAGTTTAAGGAAGAAATCTTAGTATGACTTCTTTTGAGTACAATTTATCATATTAATTCTGACCTTCTGATGCAAAGTATCCGTGACTGATAGTTTAGCTCTGCCTTTTGAAGACATTTTCTATATTAAAGTTGTTATTCCACTCTTAGCTTAACTAGACATGGCTAGACAAATCTCTAGTCACCCTTCGTACAAATACTGGAGTCTAAATTTTAATTTATTGCTTAATTATATTAATTTCCCAAGCTTCGCTAAAAATCTTGTGTATAAATAGTTCAAAATCTTTGAAAGTAGCACTGTCAACTTTGAGCTTCTCTTAGAAGAAATCTTATAGCTTATGAGTATCGGGAGGTGCTTTATGCTACTTTGGTTAATAGTCATTGACCAATGCTATCTATTAATTGTGTAATAGCCCAGTATGGAGCCTGAGCTGCCTAAAGTACTGAGCTTAACATTTTGGCAGCTCAGATTCAAATTGGGTCATATATAAGTTTATGTATTTTTTGTGAGTTACAGGTGGGCTGATTGGGATATAGATGGGATACTGGCAGCAGCAGATGAGAGTATGCAGGTGGGGGTGTGGGAGTGCCCTGATGGGTATTATAGAAGCCAGTAAGATAGGATTGATATTTTAGTAACATGTGAAGTAAGTGACATGAAGCCTGATTTAAGTGCATTGGACCGTTTCCTGAAGATTGTGCTTCTTGTAATTTTCCTACTCCTTTTCTTTCTGGAAATACTTGAATTGCTCAATGAGATTCCTTGTCGCATCAATATGATTTCAAGCAATATTCGTGTCTTTCCAACTCCGACTTTACCAATGCAGTCGCTTCTTCTAAACCAGAGTGCCAAAATATTAACTATGTATCAAGTGATGAAACAGAGCTGATGAGCATATCTTTGCTGTTAAACGATGACAACTCTACTTTTCTCAACAGTCCTTCATCAATATTAGAAATGGTGATTCATAACAAGAGAGGAAATGTAACCTCTTACAAATTTACCCAGACATTTCCAATTCCTAATCCTGCAGATCCACTGACCAATATTTTACCTCTGATTGCTGGACAAACTGACAAATATGTTAACGAGACAAATATTGTCAAACTCAGCAAGACCACCATCGATAACTACCCTGCTGGGTCAAAATTCTTGATAATGTCTGAGGCTCAGAACGATTGTGGAGACAGAGCAGTTGCTTACATTAGCTTGTTTAAAGAACCTCTCCCGATTATTGGAGATGCCACGATTTCATGAGTGTCTTCTCCATGCAAAATCCTAGAACAAATAAACATTACTTTGACTGGAGATTGGTACAGCCATGACTCAAGTTCGATGCAACTATACATTAAGATTATGTACGAACTGCCTGACGGGGCCAGAGTGTATGCATACCCAAGCGCTTGGGAACAAAAAGAGTTCAGCTTGGTCATGCCAATACTGCTAAGAGAGGAGGATTCATCACTAATCATAAATATCATCGTCACTGCAACCAACTTATTCGATAACTCGTCAACACTGACAAAGACAATTATAGTGGATAACACAGTTGAAGGAGGAATAGCTACTAGAGTGTATGAAGACTTCGGAATCCAAGAGTCAATTGGCAGCGAAAGCGATAGCTTGCATACAGTTCTTGTACCTGCTTTGAAACCTCCTATGGCAAGTCTGTACTGTAAGTATGATTCCGAATGTTCAAGTAATGGTTACTGAAATTATGCAATTCAGTCTTGCATATGCAGTGATGAGTATACTGGACTTGATTGATCTATTTACTCAACAGACTACTCGATATTACAGGCTCCTATCGCAACTCAGCTCATTAGACTTGGCAACAAACTTGCGCCTTCTCAATTCCAGTCCAGGGTCGACTTTGAAGACGATTTCATTCTGTTCTGTAACCTCTTGGTCAGACCTGAGTTTGTCCCATACTCTTCTCTGAGTATTGTTGTTAAAGTATTTACAAGTGTGGTATCCATGAGCCCATCTTTGTTTTCGGTGGTTTCTCAAGATTTCCTGCAAGCTTACTTCAACGGAGTTTCTGCTTTGATGGTCAGGATTAAATACGAATACGAACACATGATCAAGAACAGCCACCTTGATGATGAGAGTGATGAGCTAGCTCTGAAAACATCCAGTTTACAACAGTGGGAACAAGTCTTATGTAAGTATTTCAGAGCTAACATTTAGTGTTTTCAATTACATTCTTGCAGAAGCTGAGCACCAAAGTTGCAGACTCAAGTTCAACAATTGTGCACGAGACTGATGTTGCAGTGTTTAAAATCAAGCAAGAACTTGCTTCTGCTTTGAATGGATCAACATACTCACTTGACTCACTAGGAGATTACAACATTCATTTTGAAAATGACTGATTTGCAGGAACAGCCGTTACTGATGCGAGTACTCAAGTCAAAGTTGTGTCTATAATCTGGAAAGTAACTCCGTTGAGCGGAAACTCTCATGTTAATTCAGACAGCAGCTTTGCAATGATGTCATTCAGATTGCTTGATCAATATAGCAATATTGTCCCAGCGGTTCCACATAGAGTTGAATTTGAAATTCCCAATGCTCAAGGAGTCAAACTACAATGTCAGAATTACACTTTAAATGATCAATCTTTGCAAGTATCAAGCTCAGACTGTGTTTACAATGAAGCTACTGACTTATCTACACCACTTACATCCTGCTCAAACTGTACAACTCTTCGAGTGTCGATCAACTGTTCGTCTCCTTCAACTCTCCAGATATCTTCCACAACCCAGCACTCGCCTCAAGAATCTCACAAGTTCAGGTAAGCACCATATTAGTTAAAATTTTGGCGACTCTCTGAGTTACCATTCTAATCTCAAATGTAGTATCATCAAATCGAGTACCTTCCCGTCTCTAGACTCTAAATCTCTGAACCTATCAGGCTCGAGTGCATGGATATACTTGCTAACAGGATTCCTGACCGTCTTCGTATGCGGCCAACTGCTGATCTGATGCGCGGAGAGACAAAATAAGTTCAAGACCATTCCAGATGCAGTCTCCCAAACAGAAGCCAGGTTCGGATTCTAAAATTCAACCATATAACACACACTTGGGGTTTTGGGGTTTTGGGGTTTTGGGG